GTTGTTGCAGTGCCCCTGCAGTCAGGTAATCAAAATTTGGGTGTTTGGCAGCCTGCCTGTACTTAGACTGCAGGGGTGCTGCAACTCCACCTACCTGCCTATCTCTCCCTCATCTATGCCTTTTTGGCCCTGCTGCCCTGTGCTCTGGTACCCCAGCTGACCTTGCTATCTTCTTCCTCCCACTGCTGTTGAGGTGTGCCTGGCCTGGCTGGGCTGGCTTTGGCTGCAGAAAAAGAAAAAAAAAACCCACCAAAGCAGTCCCTCTGCAAAGAGCTCTTGGGCGGGGCTGGAGCTGGCTTCAGCTGTGGAAAAGGGGGAAAAACCCCAAAGCAGCCCTTTGCAAAGAGCTCTTTGCAAAGGGACTGCTTTGGGTTTTTTTTCCCACAGCTGAAGCCAGCTCCAGCAACCACCCAGGAGCATGGCAAAAAGGGGCATTTTAGGACGCCGCCATTGAGGGGCTGCCTTATTTATTTATCAATCAAATGTATTTATTAATCAAATTTATACACCACCCATCTCACTGTATAAGTGACTGTAGGGAGCTTACAAGTGAAAAAGTGATAAAAATAAAAATCTTTACAAAAATATACAAAGCTAAAAGACAGAGCGTCCCCAAGCCACCAACCACCCCCAGTACTGCAAACCCCCATTGGGTCCCCATGCAAGTTGACAACCAGGTCTTAGTGCTGTTCCGGAAGGCCAGAAGAGTGGGGGCCAATCTCACCCCAGGGGGCAAGATGTTCCACAGGGCGGGGCCAACAGCACAAAAGGCTCTCCTCCTAGACTCCGCCAGTCGACATTCTCTTGCTGATGGGGTCCTTAACGTGCCCTTCCTGCCAGACTGAGTGGGGCGGGTTGATGTAACGGTTCCTCAGGTAACCTGAGCCCATGCCATGAAAGGCTTTAAGGGTCATAATCAACAACTTGAATTGAACCCGGAAGCAAACCGGCACCCAGTGCAGCTCATGCAGCAGAGATGTTACATGCACAGCCCTAGAGGCGCCCACAACTGCCCGTGACTCTGCATTCTGCATCAGCTGCAGCTTCTGGATCCTTTTCAAGGGTAGCCCCATGTAGAGCGCATTGCAGCAGTCCATACGGGAGATGACCAATGCATGAGTGATTGACAGAAGGGCTTCCCAATCCAGGAAAGGGCACAACTGGCACACAACACAAAGCTGAGCAAAGAGCTTCTTGAGCAGGAGTCGTGAGTCCAGGAGGATCCCCAGACCCCCTTTAGCATTTTTTTTTCTTTTTCCACAGCCAAAGCTGGCCCGGCCCAGCAGCCTGGCCAGGGACGCCTCATCAGCAGTGGGAGAAAGATGGCAAGGTCAGCTGGGACAGTGAAGCGCAGGGTGGCAGGGGGCCAATACAGCATAGATGGGGGAGGAGGTAGGCAGGTGGGACTGGGCTGGGGCAGGTGTGGCTTCCCTGGGCATGGCAAGCAGCCCCAGAGCCACGCAGATATGGGGCTAGCTGTTGCCCTGCAAGGCAGGGTGCAGGGCAGCCAAAAGGGCAGAGATGAGGGGGAGAGAACCGGGTGGAGGGAGTTGAAGAGGAGGCAGTCCTTAACCTTACTGAGCCTCAGGGCTGGGAGGGACCAAGCTCAGAATGGCTTGAATTGGGGTGGGTCCTCAGCTAACCACCAGTGGAATTTGGTTAACAACAGCAAGAGGAATTGCCAGGATCGCCATCACTAAGTGAAGTGGTCATGTGACATCTCACTTAATGACTGCATCACTTAGCGACCTAAATTCTGGTCCCAATTAGGGTCATTAAGCAGGGACTACCTGTAGCAGCTTCTGTTCCTTTGCTAAACACTCAGCCAGAACAAGCTGTATTTTAACCATTGTATCCTAACTTTCAAGAATATTTTGAGAAGACCCTGGTGTGGAAAAATTGAAAGCCTGCAGGAACCAAGATGGCCTGCAGGAACCAAGACGGCTAGATGCTATCACAAATACCATGAACATGGCTTTATAAGTACTCAGGGAAGCATTTACTGCCAGACTAATCTTGGTAAACTCTAGTCCATTGGATCAAGAAGAATTGGAAGTGACTGAACAACACCAACATCCCAATCTTATGCAATAAATCATACTCAAAGCAGCTTACAAAATGAAAAAAAGTTGTTTCAATGTTTATGGGAATAAAATGGTCAATTAAAGGCAAGCTGAGAAACGCCTTTGGGAAGCTACTGCTTTTTCCCCTGTGGTTTAGTACATTTTGTGCCCTATCAGCCATATGTTTATTGGCACTTCTGAAGAGAAAATGAAGAGGAATACAAATCCAGAATGCAGATCTTGAGCTGTTCACAATATGCTTTGGCCCAGCCTGTTGAACTCCAACTACTATTCAGAGAGACGTGCTGGGAATTGCAGCTTAGCAGCATCTGAGAACTGCCCTTGTTCATCTCTGATCAGGATTTCGAAGGCCAGAAAGAGACCCTTGAACTAAAAAACTGGTTCAGCATGAAGCAGTTGATCCTTTTGACAACAGATTTATCCCACCATGACAAATTGATTGAAGATCTTGGACTATCTGTTTAAGGAAAGTCCCAACATAGTGTTTGATAATAATCCAACTTGGATTACTAATAGTAATTATTGGCACTTGGACGAGGTGGACTGAGACTAGACCTGACTTCTCCTGGACAGTAGTCCATCAGCATTCTGATGACATCCCAGCCAAAATCTGGGCATGGATTTTTCTAGCATCCTGTAGATGTTAAACACCACAGCGGAGAAGCTGGAATCCTGTGTTAGAGGACTCAGGGGAGAATAGTAAACCAGCAGTACCACCTCTGGGATTTACTCTTCGGAAAAGACAGACATTATTGGAAAATTGTGCCTCTTACAAGCTTTTCCTGCCAGCCGGATAATTTTGTTCAACTGTGTCAAAAACTGTTGATAGATTAAGGAGAACCACTGGTTTGCATTCTCCCCATCTGTCTTTCAGTATAGATCATCCATGATGGCAACCAAGACAGTTTCAGTCTCATAGCTGTCCAGATACTAACTTGGAAGGGGTCAAATTTTTATCTTACCTTTGTTCAGAGAAGTACAGATCATCAATAACTTTGGCTGAGTCCTTTAACCCTGACCTGAGAGATTTAACATAGTTGCACATATGTTCCTCTTCTTGTTCAGAACATCCCACATTCCTCAAGTGCTTCTGCACATGCACCCCCACACATCTCTTAGGCCTCATATCTCCTTTCAGTTAGCTCAGACTCTGGGACAACTTCCATTCTTTGATCTGATCCTTCAAAAGCAGTTCAATGTCAGGCTGGTGATAGTGACCTTGATATGTCAGTTCTTGGGAATGCAGCCACCAAAACACCTGACACAGGAAGAAATCTCATCCCACCCCAAATTATTCTCCTTCATGGAGGTGGAAATATGGAATGTGAACCAAACGGGGTGGGAAGAGAAAGGATTTAATTCAGTGATGTAGTGCAGGCCTTACATATGGAACAGCAGCGAGCACAAGCCCTCAAAATTCAAAGGCAGCATGACTGGTCATCTACAAGACCCTGTATTAAATTTGGGGCATCTCTACTTAAAATAATTTCTAGTAGCAATATGGGGAAAGAATCTACAGGACAACTGCTGCTGGTCAGAATGAGCAAACCTCATTGCTCCTGCTCTTGGACATTTCAGGGATGTTATTTCAATAGAAATGAGGAGTGATAAAATTCAGGCAGGTAGATTTCTCAGTGAAGTTGAAAAGATTCACTGAAGGGACACTGCAAAAAAGTATGGCTGTCATCTCATGTTTAGAAATTCTTCTGTAGCAAAATTGTCAAAACAAATCAAAACATCCTTGTATTATATCAAAGATTTGGTTCCTTTTAATATGAATTGCTGGCACATAGGTCATTTCTAATAGTCCCTGGATGCATAGATAGCATCTGTGAGAATTGGCCAGAGAAAAGAACAATGACTTAGGTTTAAACTAGAAGGGTGGGGAATGGTCTCTGGTTTTCTCTGAATGGCATATGGAACCCCACTGCCTCTCAGACCTGAGATCATGTTTGCTTTTAAACTCCCAAATTTCAACTTTGGAAACCATCAATTATTTCATCTTTCTACTGTAACTGTAATTGCTCTGCATTGCCTGAATCCGAGTTTTTGTTTCTTAAGAACAGAGTTGGTAAGAAAGACCATGACTTTAGTCCACACATCATTCTAAGCCAGACTGTGAAGTGTTTTGCGTGCTTTAGCAAGTTGTGCACACTCAGCCAATTGTGGCTTCTTCCGAAAACCATGTGTAAAACCAGGTGGCCTTATTTAAACATTCAGGGTGTAGTGCCAGTCCTACATGCCTGTGAGTATCCAATTACCATTTATACAGAGAGATTCTTAAAAGTATCCCTTATAACCCTTACTTAATCATTATCAGAAGAATTGTTCCCATTTTACAACTGCAGATTTGTCTCTTTAGCAGCTGCAGAACCACCAAAAATGAATAAGAACTTTGTTATAGCATGGAGAAAAAGCTGTTTTTGTAGCTTCTTAAGACATGTTGGTTTAGCTGTCTGTAAATAAGTTAATACCAATCACAATCCTTGATCTCTGTCGCTAAAGACCATATTAAAGTCCCACTAACTGATTAGAGAAGTAATACCTTGGTTTGCATTTGTGCCTTTAGAAAGAACTTGATCAGTAGAAGATCTTGGCACATAGAAATTTGCCTGGTTTGGGCTTGGCATGCTAGTTCTAGTTTATTCAGTAAACATGGTTAAACTATAGCTTACCATGACTGCAAATCAGCCCAGTGGGCAAAGGGTCATCCATTTAAGAATACAAGAACTGGATTTGCAGGATAAGCTAAACCACAAACTAGCTGACCACATTTTAGCCTAGTGTGTTTTGCAAATTTTTAGTTACTTAATAGTTCAATTAAGGAGCTTGGGCTCACGCAGCATAATAGGTGTGGGTGGGTAGTTCATGATCCATGGTCTTGTGTGAACACAGCCCTTCTGTCTCTCCATTAAGGGTGAGTCTCTGAAGATGCCATTGTCGTGCTACGGTTGTTTTCCAAGATGAGGCATGCAGATGCAGGTTGCAACTGACCCGGGAGAATGTATAGATCCTGGTTGGAAACTTTGGGATTTGTAGTCCCAAAATCCCAGAGAGCGCCACGTTGGAGCAGGTACAGCCACACAACACCTGATCATTGGTGAGCTTCTCTGATCCCCTTTTTAAACCACCTTCAGTTGCTGCTGTTCTTTTGTTGTTGAAAAGTCTCGCTCTCACCCTCACCTTTTTCCAGCAAATTGAATTAAGCATTATGATGACTATAGTTATTCATTTCATCTTGGCCTGTTTTGAAACACTGATCAATGGCAAATTGGATAAAGGAGACCAAGAGAAAGGCAGTGCCTCATTTAAATTACTAGTCAGGGCTGCCCTGCTTTGAGAGAAGGCCAAAAATGAAGCTCTATTCTTGTGCTAAAAACTGGAATTCTTCTGACTTTTATCAAATACTTCCTTGGCCAACAGGGAAAAAGACATCCATGGTTTGAATATTTCCCCTCTTGACCCAGTTCAGAGCTTCTCAATCAGAAATTTGTTTCCTCTTCTATTACAAATATTTTAAAATGCGATTGAAGGAGAGGGGTGAAGCCAGGACTGGAGAGTCAAGAAAAAATTCTCCAGTTTGTCCAGTAGAAACATGCTAGCCTTACATAGAAACTCAACTCAGATGACTCTGTCCCCGTTTTCTAAGAATTACCATTTTATTCACGTTCAAAATATAACAGTGATTTAAAATAATTGCTAATACCTTAATGTCCCTTCCTTGTTAAGGGAGGGAGGAAGCTAAATTGTAATTAGTATTTTGATGAGGGACTTTTAAAATCATTTTTGTTATTCCCAAATGACTATAATCTGGACGATGTCCAGGACTGGTTCCCCAGTCTGCTCTCATCCATCCCTCATTGTGTGAATTTGTTAGGTAATACGTCATACAACCAAAGCTTCTTTCTTAGTCATCTCTTTATCTTGATGCCCAAAAAAGCTACAACAGCTGCTGCTAAAGTTGGAAGAGAAACAGAGCCAATACAGGAGAGGGGAAGGGAAATAAAAGGAGACAGGGGCAACTCCAGTCACCATTATGCACATTCAAAAGCTGTGAAAACTGGACATTAGAAAGTTACCACCTTTCCCCCTGGCTTAACACAGGCTTAGCTTCCATAAAAGTGATGAGTTCAATCTTCATTCAGGGATAAACTCTGGAGCAAATGAGTTAGTAAGAGTGGTCGCAATCATATGCAGAATGCCTTCCTTACCCCTCTGAACAAACACAGCTCAGCGTTGACAATGAAAAGACAAGGCCCAAGTTCCAGTGGAGAGGAATCCTTTTCAGAAATTAACTCTCACATCCTGTTTGCCAATGGATTTTTAAATGGAGAATCATTTATGGAATCCCTGTCCTCTAACAGCCCTTAGTTTATGGCGTGGTCCCACTTTATTCTCAGAACAGGTTTGTGCAGCAAGTCAGGTTGAGCCAGAAATAGGGAGAGAGGTGTCCATCCATTGAGTGAACCTTATGATGAGGAAACATATCAAAGTATTATTTACTCTGTCAATATCCAGCAATATTTCTACAGTTTTGCTGTCAAGAATACAGTTAGGGTAGAACTTGGGGGCAGAAAGGATGAGGCTCCCAAGATGTTCCAGCAGCCTGCTCACCTGTTGAAACTTACAGAGTCCAAGGCATTGCAGTCTAAAAAGGGATCTGTCTCCATCGGACCACTCAGCCTGGAGTCAGAGGCTCTCTAGAGTGCAGCAGCATATAAACCCCAGCCAAAAAAAAAAGCTGCTACTGTGCCATGAGGGTCATTCAGTCTATGGTTTAACGTGAACCAGGTCTCAGGCTGAGCTCTTTTCACATAGGGTCACGTATAAAAATGCTAGCAAGCGTCAGATCAATACAGAGGCGCCTCTGAATGCTTGGGTGCTTTTCTTACCAGGCAAACAGCACTGCTTTGAAGACATCAGTCATTAACCCTAATTCTCTGACGACTGGACCTGGCTGGGTATTCCCACTAGAAATAATATGTAAGAACGCATGCAGGTTAGCAAAGGGTTGCTTCTTTTTCAGCAGATTCCTTAGCTTGGCTTTAGCAGTCAGCAGTGATCTCCAGATTTGGAAAAGTTTCAGCTGCTAATTCATGCAAATCAAACTGCTAAGGGCACAAGAGCAGGTCAAGGCAGTGTGTGTGTGTCTGTGTGTGTGTGGTCTGTCCCTGCCCAGTTGGAAATCTAAATGAAGGTGCATTCTATCAAGGCAATCTTGCATACACACTTCAAATCAATTAAAGAGTTGGAGGGTTTATAGCAACTTCCTCCAAGCTGCTACCCTCCAGACATATTGGATTTCAACTCCCACAATCCTTAACCAAACAGTAGCTGAGATGCATACCATGCTAAGCTAAACAGAGTTTGTTTGTTTGTGGCTTAGTTGTGTAAAGCCAAGCATGCTTCATGGGACATTGTGTGCAAACTGTGGCTTATTCAAATAAATCATGGCTTATATTAAGTATACAATATACTAATACCATCAGCATTTTTCTTTCTTGTCTTAAGCCAGGGTGGATAGCCTTCAGGAGGCTGCGGTCTGCTGTGGGTGGATGCTGATGAAAGATAAGAAAGGGAATCATTCTGTGCTGGGATTTGCTGTTATTTTCCTGGTATTTTGGGGGGTTGTCATTCTTCTTTAAAAGAATATCAAGCCTATTTTAGAGCTTACAATATAGCAGGGATGCCCAAATGTTGTCAGATGAGGGCTGCACTTGGTTTTTGAGTAACATGTTATGAGCAGTTTTTCAAAAGGGACTATATGGGCTCAGGAAAGAGCTTGCTTTCATTTACATTAACTGCAGTTTAATATAACTTTCCACTTGTGTTTTGGGAATTTTCCCTCTGTTACATTAAAAAAAAACCAAATACATTGGGAGTCTCTGTAACCCATACCTCAAGGCTACATGCATATTTGGGACTTCAGGGTCTGCACTGCAGTTTGCACGTGTTTTCTGCCTTAATGGAGCAATTGCTGATCTGTGATGCGGCTCCAGGAGCTGCAAAACAGAGCTTTGAGGGCCACCTGTAGTTGTAGCTTAAGCTTGAGGAGGAAGAAAAAAATGAGTGTGAGCCATGACTTCTCTTAAGTAGTATTGCCAGCAGGAAAAAATAAGTAACAAGAACTGAAGGCTGGCCAATTAGTGCTGCAGTTTGATCTGCACAGCTGAAGCTTTTCACAGCATAAAAAATGTGTGGCTGTTACCAGCTGAGATCAGTGCAGCAAGCTGTTCTGAAAGCTTCAGCATAACCAGCAGAAGGATAGTTGTACTGGGTATCAAAAAGGGTACTGCGAAGCTAACTATCCTGCCTGCCAAACAGTGTGCTGGGGCAAGCAGAGCACTGGACAGGGCCGGGAAATTTGGATCCTGACTGGTAGGGAATTGCTGCTCAGTTTGGAAGCTTTTGGTTGACCACGATTCAGCCATTTTTTTTCTCAGCTGGATCAGCAGACTGTTGCCAGGACACCTATATGCCCCCTTTGCTTCAGCAGAATTCTTGGGTTGGACTAGTAGCCATCCCACCTAATCCCTGTGGCAGCACCAGCCCCTGGGCTCAGGTTTGCCAACAGTTTTTCCATGGCCCAGGTCAGAGGTTTTCTCCTGTAACACAAGTCAGCTTTCTCATCCCACCTCCCTTGACAGGTTGACAAATGTTCTGGCAGAGACCATCTGCAAGCAAGGAAAGGCAGGCGCGGTGGCTGCCTTTGCAGGCACTTAGCAGATTTGGGAGTAGAAAAATGGCTGGGTTTGCTCAACACTCTAAATCACCAACTTGCCAATAGCATTTTCACCTAGTGGGTTGTGCAAATCCAGCCCATGTGTTTAAATTATGGTTGTGTATTGTGTGAACCCAGAAACTTGGATTGAGTAAAACATGGTTAAAGATAAAAAAAATATGTGAACACCAGCAATCTTTTCCCCTTCATTAATTATCTCATCACTCACTCAGCTTTGGGGGCTACAAAGCCCCTCAAAAGCTCAAGTTCAGAGGTGATGGTCTTTCAATTTTGTCAAAGAAACTCACACTTGGTACATCTCCCTTGCTTCCAGTAACGTATATGGAAGGGAACCTTCAACGGATGCAGCTACTCCCCCTATGCCATGTCTGTGTTAGGAAAGACTTTATCTGTTAGTTTCTGCCTGTTTAGTGCTTTCTTTTCCCCCTTGGATCCCTGACTGGTAAGGACTTGACATACATGGTACTGCTTCTTTAAGGCTACCACCTTTTATACACAGCAACCCAGTGGCTAGAAATTAAGCATTACTGTTCTCTGAGGAAGAAACCCCAATTGCACTTTCTGTTAAAAATGCAGGAATGCTGAGAAAAGTAGCAAAGTATCTGAGATGAATAGCAATGCCAACTTTTATCATCTCCTCTGGCCAAATAAGCAGGTGAGGGTTTTCATAGCACCAAACTAAACCTGATTTCTGCAGATCAAACTCCCGATAAAAGGCATTGAAGGTGGATGGGAGCAGGAGAACATACTAATCAGCAGGATCCTTTGAGTTCAGTCTGATTGGTGTGTGAATTTGCTATAAAAATAACAACCCACCTGAAATATTAAGATTGGATCATCCTGTTTACATATTTACTAATTAAATGCTCATCATTATGACAAGTGGGTGGTGTAGGCAGCTGTTATCTTAACTTCAGTTTACCATTGGGCTTTAAAAAAAAAAGCAGGGGGATTGGGAGAATTTAAATACAGTATACAATTTCTCACTACATCTCAGGCTGCTGAAATGTGTGGCTGTACTGAAGTAGGCACGAGTTTGTGATTAAGACTCATCAGAGCTTACCAAGAACCTGCCCTAGTTTTAAATCTGTTCATGTAGTGCCTGTGACTCCTTTTACCCATTTTTTTCCTGCACCTTTCTCCTGCCTTCTTCCTCATTTATCGTGCAGAGTAAGAGATGGCTAGAAATTACATCCAACGAACTAGGGCATGGTTGCAGTTTTGGATTCATTAGTGTAGATGACAAGAACCGATGGTGCACTCATTTCTGTGGATGGCACTGCTTATTTTTTCTAGTGTGCATCAGCTACTTTTTTCATTCACGGAGCTCTTTTTTGAAAAGAATCAGGATCATAGAAGATATTAGGGGGCACGTTTTGACATTCATGACATTCCAAAGCCTTGTATTCCACATACAATTTGTTACAGAAATGCTTACAACCATCGTGCTGGGTAGGTATTATCGTCCCCATTATCACAGACAGAGTGGGGGAAAGGGTAGGATGTCAGAGTGCTTGGTGGAAAACCACTCAGTGAACTCAGGACTGAGAAGATGTAAGGATGAGCAGGACAATGAAAAATGCCTCTTCCAAGCACCCAGCAACGCTATTACCAATTACACAGTTCTAAGGCCAAAGTTGCTGTCTGTCATATTCTACCTGGTTTGCAACTTTGCTCCACGGATACCATATTTTGTTTCTCCTAGTAGTAAACAGCAGCCTCTTTTCTTTGTCCCACGGAATTCAGTGGGAGAATCATTGAGGATTCATCCCCCACCTGCATAGCCTCCCTAACCCAAGTTGTTTTTTGCTATTATAGAATCTTCATTTTTTAAAAGAGCATGACAACAGAGAATGTTAGGGAGAGACTATTTATATGTGTATCTGTATTTTAATCATACCCCAATAGTTACTGCATGGGGAGGGGGCCATTAGCAGGGAAGAAAGCATGCAGCCAGGACTGATGACTACAATTTGCATCTTTACCACAGCTGCCAACACCCACTCATTGGAATGTCACTAAGTTCCTGATGCATGGATAAATATTTCATTGTTGTTGTTCCCCCAGATCAAAGACCCAGTTTTATTTAGATTCTCGGGGGCGTCTTAAGCAGTGGGGGAAAAAGGGGAGGAAACGCTTATCAGAGAAATTCAGGCTTTTCAGTTTCATCACCTGAAACCCAAACTTTGTGGCTGGAAAGAGCCTGAAGTATACAGGCTAACTTAACGACCGCAAATTGGACCAGCAATTCTATTGCTAAGCGACATGGTTAAATGAAACACCGCATGACCGTGCCGTACTTATGACATCAGTTCCGTTGCAGTTGTTAAGCAAATCACCTATGGTTGTTAAGTGAGACATCACATGACTGTGACTTATGATTTCACTGCCAGCTTCTCCATTGACTTTGCTTGTCAGAATATATAAAGGCACTTCAAATTTATGTTGGAAATGTGAACAACAGGAAGGGTCATTTTATCATGCTTGGTGAACATGCAAAAAAGCTAGAAAATGTTGGTTTCAAATATATACAGTGATTCAGAGGATTTTAAAGATCAACATTCAACTGAAACCAGAACTTTTCTTCTTGGGACTGATGGATAAGCAGTTGGAAAAAAGTCATGGAACATTGTTTTTATATATGATAACTGCACTGAGATTATTGTATGCACAAATATGGAAAGATCTGGCAATATCTATGACAGAGGAATGGTTGGTGAAGATGACAGAACTTGCTGAAATGGCCAAACTGACTTGTTTGATTAGAGAAAAGACAATATCTATGTTTATTGGTGACTGGAAACCCCTTATGGACTTTCTGTAAAAAAGAAAAAAATGAATTTATGTTTTATGGTTTTGATGATTACATAGGATAGATTATAGAAAGAGAGTCACGATTTAACTTTAGAGAGAGGTAAATTTATAATTGTACTTATAACTGGTGTAAAAAAGATCAGAAGCCACTTCTTTTTATCTTTTTTCTTTCTTTTCTATATTTCTGCTACTCTTTTTCTTTTTGTACTTTTAGTTTTTTCATTTTTTTTTCTTTTTTTCTCTATTTTAGTTTGTATTAGTCTTATTCTTGTGTTTAAAAATTTACACACACACGAAGCCAGCTGTGAAGCTCACAAGTGGCAGTCATGTGACCACAGGGCACTGCAACAGTCATAAATGTGCACCAGTTGCGAAGCGCCCAAATCATGATCATGTGACTGTGACAGTCATAAGTGCAAGGACTGGTCATAATGTTACTTAGCCATCGAATGGTTGCTAAACAAGGCAGTTGTTAACCAAGGACTACCTGTACTTTCGGGGGGGGGGGGGGTTTGCCAGCCAGAAAT